AAAAAGTGCAAGCCAACTCATCACACAGCACACATGAATCTCAAAAGTATTATGCTAACTGGTAAAATGCTCCCATAAAAAGGTAGTGTGTATTTCTGCAAAAGATGCATATACTGCAGGCTTTTTAAAAATTAAATTCTAGAACAGGCTAAAACTTATCTCAGAATGGGGGATGAGGGCAGGTGGAGCTGAGAAGAGACATCAAGGAATTTCCAGGACTGAGATAATGTACTATATTTTCATACCAGTTTGGGCTACATAAGTGTATATATTCATCCAACCCAATCAGGTGGTACACAATATTTATGCATTTCAGGCTGGGGATTTAGCTCAGTGGTGCCACAGCCTGCCTTGCAAGCCCTAGCTCCTGAGTTTGATTCCCAGTACAAAAAAAAAAAAAATTTATTTCACTGTACAGTTACATAAAAACAAGTAGCACAATTGGCAAATGCAGAATTCTAGTTACTGAGGACAGACTAACATGGCTGGAGTATATTACAGCTGCAATTTACTCTGAAATGCAAAAACACAAGCTCATAGTGATGAATATGGAGGTGTGTAGCAAACCACACAAAGGAAAATATTTTTGGAGAGCAGAGCGTACACGTGTATTCTCATTACACTGTTATTTAAATGTTTTCTGCTTAAGAATCTTCATAAGATTTTGAAAAAAATTACAAAGCCCTAACTAAGTGAATATGCAAGAAAAGGAAATAAAAAGTATACATGAGAAGAAATAAAATACCCAAACAAAAAACCGCTAAAACTCACTTTGGCAGCACATATGCTAAAACGTATAAGCAACTATAGCAGCAAGGCTGCAGGATACAAGATTAATATACAAAATAAATCAGGTTCCTATATTTCAGTAAGGAAGACATGGATGTATGACCTACACACACTCAACATGGACCATAGATCTAAATGTAAACAGAAAACTATAAAATTTTTGAGATGACACCACTAGAGGAAATCTAGGTAACTGAGGGGATAGCTATGACAGGAGTGAGGACAAGAGGAAGAGTCCAAGTCCCAAGACTCCAGCAGGACACCCCAATGGCCTCCCTCCAGCCCCATCCCGAGACCCATAGCACCTCCGAAGAGCCTCCTAGGAACCAGACCCCACACACAGCCTTCAAATCACAGCAATGGGCAAATGTCTCCTGAAAGGGCCACACAGTAAATACTAGGCTGTGTGTACCGTTCAATTGCCTCAACTCCTTCTCCACCTTTGCCAGGTGGCAGGAAATCAGTAGGAAGCCACGGGTACCAACACTTACTCAATGGACAGTGCATGACAGAAGAGCCAGCACTGGGCTCTCTACAGTCCCGATCACCCAGCTGGCATTAGCTCAGAAAGCTACCTGGTGTTTCTTCAGCCAAAGTCCTAATTTTTATCAGGTCCCCAAAGCACCGCCACACCCTCAGAGGACAGGGGTGCCCTCAGCCAGGGACATCCCGCTGGCCCTTCCTGGACAGATTCAGGCCCTGGAGTAGCCTCACCTGGGTACTGGGCTACAGTCACAACTCCACAGAGCAGCCTCCAAGCCTCCCCCCGGCCCCACAGCCAGAGAGAGCAGGGCAGGGGTACCAATCCTCAGCATACCAGCCCAAGGAACAGAGCACTGCCAAGCCTTGGGGAAGCCCACACAGGCCAGCACACTCACCCTGGCAGAGCAGAGCTGCTGCTGCTGCAACCATGCTGCTTACCATCCTCTGCTGGGCATGGTCTGGGCCCATGGTGCAGATACCCGGGTGGCACAGCAGCACCACTGCTTGTAGGAAATGCCTCCTTTCACCCCCACGTCCTCCTGGCCCCCACAAACCAGGTCTGAGGAACAGACCAAGGAAATTGGGCCAGGAAGAAATGACATTCCTTCCCCATGTCTCAGCAAGAGGAACCTGGCAAAGGGAAACACCCACAGCAAACTCCTTGGTGAAGAAAGGTTTTATTGCTGCAGTCAAGACTTACGGTCTCCCTGCACAGAGGGTTACTAAGGTGATAATGCTGAGAGACAGTGAAAATACATAAAGGATACAAAAGTAAGACATTTAGAATGCAAGAAATTTCCTAAGAAAAATTTCCAAATGTGAAGGATCTTTTAGAAAACACACTACACATGCCAGTGTAAATTTGGTTTTTATTAACAATCAAGTTTTTATAAACACTGCATCTAAATATGCACAGATAGCTGTGCACCTCGAACAATTCCAGAGCAGAGATAAATGCTTCTATTTCCCTGTACTTAGGTCCTTCCTTGGGCTAGAGGGAGAAGTTGCATATTGAAAATCAGATTCAAAGGAGGAACAGGAGCTCCCATGTGTCTGCCTAGCGGTGTCCACAGTAGCAGGCAAAATACCACACAGGCTTGGATCCAACAGCCAAAGTCAGAAGTCTGCCAATGGTGCTGGGGCTGCAGTGCTGAGTCAGACAGGGCCAGCAGTGATACCCTGAGACCATAGTCTCTGCCTTCCTGGCCCCGAGACCCCCAAGCCAAGCATTTGGTGTGGCTGAGCCAGATGCCATCCTCCACTGACCCAGGTAGAAAGGTGAAAACACAGATAAACATGACACCCCTGGCACTCAAGAGGGCAAAGGCACCCACTAGGCATGGGCAGAGCCAGGCCCCACTGTTGTGGGCATTGTGCAGGACTCTGTGGTCAGGAAGGAAAAGGCAGGGGTGGCCAAAGCTCTGAGAGGGGGAGAATGTAGGGCCTCTGTTTGCAGAGTGGCTGGAGATGGTGCTGGCCTTCCTGACAAGGGAGAGGGCTTCTGGCTGGACATACACAAGTGCACCTTTGCTGCTGGATGCCAGGCCCCTCCCTGCACACACTCCTGTCTACAGGAATTTCAGAGCTTTCCAGGCTCAGTGGATGGGGCTCAAGGTGGAGGGGCTCACAAAGTCCCACTGGAGGATGGCTAGGTGGTTGCAAGGGACTCAGGCCTTAACTTTTGGGGCAGTTTCGGGGGGGGGTCAGGGAAAGGCTGGTGGGCTCACTCCCCTGAGTGGGCAGCTTATAGCTGCTGGGTGTCCCCGGGCTGAGGGACGTGGTAATTGCACTTTGGGCACAGGCACAGGCTGGATGTGGCCAGGGAGCTGAAGGCAAGTGATCTCAGGGGCAGCTGTGGTCAGCACCTGCCAGGCAGAAGGGCAGCCCTCCTGGGCAGCAAGCCTGCTTGTTTGTGAGGGCCTTGCTGGGAGGCTGTGCAGGCAACAGTACTGGCAGTGGCATGGCCCAGAGCGTGCCTGGCTGCCTACCCGGTTCACTGTCTGCCTGGCACTGTGACACTGGGCTCTGAGAACAAACTTTTAGGCATATTTTTAAAAAAGGGACAAGGCCATCTGAGGTGGTGGTTTTGGTTTTGTTTCATGAATGGTGTCACAGGGATCTTGATGATGGGTGGGCTGATCAGGCTCAGGTCCTGAAGGACCCTGTCTGCCCAGTCCCTTAAGGCCATGCCTGGTGGGTAAGGGTGGTGATGTAGTTGCCCTGGGTAGTCTGTTGTCTCCTCTGGGTGCTGCAACAACTTAGACCTAGGATGGTACCAGGACCACTGAGGTGCATAGGCCTGTCCTTTCCCCGCAAAACCATCAGTAGCCAGAGACCTCTGTCCCTAGTCTCCCAAAGGAAATGATTTTAAACACTCAGCTGTGCTGAACTATTCATTCTTCTCTTCCCATTCTGCCGTCCAAAGCCTCTTTTGTCAGTGCTGACAGAGGAAACACAGGTCGCCCTGGAAACAGATTCCAGGCTTTAGGACCCTGGTCACTATCACTGAGCACCACCATTCCCACCAACACTGTCCTAGTGTCATGTCCCACAGGGAGGAGGTCCCCTTTTTAGAATAAATAAGGCAGAGGGTTTCAGATCTACTTCCATGTGAAAGATAACTAGTGATGAAGGAAAGATTTGTAAATGTGATGCTTTTTAGCGTCAATCCCACTAGACACATTATTAAAAAATAAAGACTCTTTTGTAAAGTGCTGCTTGTTCAGGAAATCAGGCGCTGCAGGCTCAGGGTGCGGCTGAGGCAGGGTGGGGCTGTCTCTCACTGTACCCCACTCCAGCTTGCCCCTCAGGTTTGGCATTTTATTCTTCACCCTGTGGAAACCACATGCAGAGCTCAGCCATCCCCTCGTGGTGGCTTCCAGGGCCTTCCACCTTCCCACCTCAGAGAAGCCAGGCAGAAGGGATCCTGCCGTCTGCTCACAGGACGGCTTCTGATCACTGAGGAGAATCCAGAGGCCAGCAGAGCTCATTGCCTGCCAACTCTATTAGAGGACAGGAGAAAGGTATACAGTTGGCAGTAAACAACATCCTTCAGCATCCCACAGACATCCAGTACACGTCAGACATGGATGATCTCTGCCCCGGCATCCTCAGGATCTGTGCAAGAGGAGGAGTTTGTGTCAGAATGACAGAGTCCATGTCCATCTTTATTTCCAAATTTGGGCTCTGTTATTGCAGATTTTTCAAAAATATTCTTTTTGCTTGTTTCTGGACAGTTTTGAACATAGATCACTCTATTGTAGGCCTTGAGTCTCTTCCACAGTTGCAGGTAGACTTTGCACTGAACATACATAAAAAGAAGTCCTCCAGTGAAGCCAATGGCCACGACCACCAACTTAGTCCAAAAGGGCCACTCCAGTATGCCTGCAAGGGGGAGAGAGGCCATCAGCGCCAGGAGAATGAAGAGGACATAACCTGACAATCACTCTGCTACCACAGTATCTCCCACCATAAGTCCTGGGATCCCGTCCTCTGACCAACTTTCTGAGACCCCCCACCTCCAGGAGCACAGAGAAGCCCTTTGCAGCTCCTGTGCCACTCTCCAGGCACCTACCTGTTGCCTGCCCCTGCTTGATCTCCTCGGCAGTGCGGTCAATGAGCACATACAGGGACCAGACTACGCAAGTGATGGCGATGATGTGGAATGTCACCGAACACATGATCTTCCTACGCTCACTGCTTGACATCTGCAGCTTTTCCCACTGGAAAGACAGCATGCGGAGTGTAAGCCTGGGGTGAGAGGGCAGGGCTGCCTGGGGTGGTGGGACAGTTTGGTAACAACTGCCCCAACTGGGTGAATTTGCCCAGCCCCCACAGATGTCCTTGCAAACCACTCGCTGCAGGTGGGACCAAGCACTACCAAGGCCCTGTGTGCTGGAACCCCAGGATTATGAGGCCAGCAGTGAGCCACCTGTTCCTCCCACTCCAACACTTGGCAGCTCAAAAGACACAAGACTTTGACCTTGGTCCCGACCCAGAACTGCATTTCAAGTCTCACAGGTGCACCAAGTGTCACAGACAGGTGGGTGAGATGCAGAGGCCTTCACTGGTCCTCTACAGCCCCAGCAGCACAGTTGGAAACCAAGCTGAGTTCCTGGTGAAGCCAACTCTGCAAGGAGCCATTTCGGATTCCATGTAGGGGAGTTTCTTTTTACTGTTTCTCAGCCAAAAGAAAACATAGAAAAGTGAAGAGAACACAGTGTGTGCACTCTGCAAACCTCTGGCTGACACCAGCCACGGCGCACGTCCAGATGTTCTATGCAGATGAGCTGATTACCTGGATCATCCTGATAAACTCGTACCTGAGAGCCATCCCAGAGCAGGTACCTGATACATTTCACATCTTTCCTGAGACAGAGCCTCTGTCTGTGCTCATGTTCTCCAGCACTGCTAATTCCTGCATGCTTACCCCAACATGATCCCTGGCTTCCTCCCCAGACACAAGCTGTTCTGCATCATGCTACTCCCCAGGACCCAGCCAAGGGCTCACCCTGAGATCAGACCTCCCCACACGGCTGGCAAAGCTCTTTATAGACACCTGCCTTCTCTTAACTCCTTCACTTTGCCTGCAGGGCCCATGCTCCTTCCAGAGCCACCCAAAGCCAAGCATGTCTGCCCTGCCCCACTCGGGCCCAGATAGGGCTCTTCCCATTCCGGAGGCCCACATGGTCACCTCTAACCCACTGCACTGGCCTTGCCGTAGGCTGCTACTCCATCTGGTGAGTCCTGGCAAGTGGCTATTAAATGCTCTGAGGTAGGGCATTCTATTTTTTTCAATGTGACCATTCTGGGCACACAAAGAGATTATTACCAGCATCTGGATGAACAGTTTTGCCCCTATCCCCAGCAAATTCTTGTCCTGGTGTAGATGGACACATCGTGCTGTTCCAGGCTGAGTGCTGGGGGAAGACACTGGGCTCTGAGAGTCGGTCCTGGTGGGGGTGGCCAGATGCACAGTTACACCCTTGGGGAGGACTGGGGTGGGCTGGGCCCTCCATACCTTCCGCAGCGGCTTCAGCCGGGTCTCCATGACGAACTCATACTTGCACAGCTCGCAGCAGCGCGCATCAGAGCTCTTGATCCACTGCTGCAGACAGGCCTGGTGCACAAAGTGCAGGCTGCCCGTGCAGTGGCACGGTGTGATCAGGGGGCTCTCATCATCACCCTCGCAGTGGCAGATTCTGCGGGGAAGGAATGGTGTCACTGTGGGAAGGCCATGCCAGTGGGGCCGTGCCCAGAGGTCAGTCCCCAAGAAAACTGAGAAACAGTACAGAAATGACCACAGGCACAGAAACAAACATGAATAAAAACAGCAACTAGAAACTAAAATTTCTCCCTTACCGCACTGACACGTAAAGTCAGAAGGGCAGTAGCAACAGAGGGGAAAGCAATGTGACAAATGGCAAAGCGTCAACACTGAGAGCCACCTAGGGATGAGGTCAGGCAACAGAAGTCATCATCCAGGACACAGGCGTCAGTCAGAGGCAACTGTGTAGCCAAACCACAGCAACTAAGAAGTGATGACACATGCTTCCCATGCAGGTGCCCACACCCTCACAGCACGCCAGACCTTCCTGCCCCTCTTGGGGGCCGAGGTTGCAGTCCCACTTCTCCACCTAAAACTTGCCACCACAGTGTTGCAGTGGCACCAAGTGGGCATTAGTTTTAAAGTACAGCAGTATGTCGCTGAGGACCCTACAGAATTCAGGCCAGCTTTTGAGAACAGAGGTCTCTTTCCATAGCTGGAACAGGTAGGGATGTCCGTGCTCACAGCAGCCGGAGCTCGCCTGGCTGGGTCCATGAAAAAAGTTTCAGCTGCTACTAACAAATCTGGGGCCACACAAGTTGCTGAGGGACAGGGTAGGTGCTGTGAGGGCCAGGAGTGGCGCACAGGGTAGGGGGACAGGAGATAATTGGGGAGCAGCTGCTCCCCACTAATGGGGGCAGGAAGCACAAATGGCCCAAGGGTGGGGTGGGGGAAAAGCACATGCTTGAAACAACCGGCAGGGTGGAAGACTAGAGAACTATCTTTTTCTTCCAATATCTTTATGCAAAGTCTACTTATTTTTAGATGCAACAAGTCATTTTGGCCTTTAATATGTGTAGCTTCTTCCTCATTTAAAACTGGTTCTCTAAATGGCATCAGTGCTCTGCATCCTGGAGAAGACAACAAGCCCACACCGGCTAAACTGTCTCGGGCTGTTTTGTGGAAACTTCACATATTAAAAGCCAGTGAGATAGGGCTGGCCAGGTACAGTCCCTGCACACCAACCTGCAGGAGTCCCCAGAGGTAGACACAGGGGAGGCTGGTGGCAGCCTTTCAGACTGGGGTGAGGGGCAATCCAGGTCGCTGTCCTTCTCCATGGAGCACAAGGGTGCCCGTAGGACCCTGCTCTTCAGCCTAGTGGATGTGCTATCCTCAAAGACATCGTCATCGCCCATCTCATCGGAGCAGAAGCCCATGCTCCCTGCCAGCCCACTGGAGGAGGGGGTGGCATGCAGGTGGGCAGCATGGACCTCTAGCTCATGGAACCGGTGCAGGCTGCTGGTGCTTGAGCCCTGGGACAGTGAGAGCAGGTAGCGAAGCAGGCGCCGGCTCCCAGACGTTGTCACCTCACCATCTGCCTTCTCCTCCCAGGAGGGTCCATGGTCACTCCTCCTGCCAGTGTCCACCTCCCAGGCAGCTGGCCGGGGCACAGCAAGGGATGGGATGCACACATATTTGGAGTGGACAATAGGAGCACGGTTCAGCACTTTCTGCTCCTTGAGGAGGAACCTGCTGGTTCTGAGACTGGGGTCTTGGGGCAGAGCCAGCTTCCCCTCCGAGCTGGTTCTCTCCACAAAGCAGGCACTATCCAGGCTGTCTTGGTCCTTCACCCCCACATCGCTCAGGGACTTGGAGAACTTCAGGGCTCTTCTAGCCCTGGTGCTATTGGCAGGCTTCCAGGCCTCAGCCCATTCCAGACCTGAGGGGTTTCTCTTGGTCACCTGCAGTGTGTCTTTACAAACAACTGTCACAGTGAGCCCTGGTGTCAAAGAACTCTGGCAGGAAGGAGCTTTCAAGAAAACAGCAGACTGCACAGCACTGTGGTGACAGAACTCAGAGTACACTGCGCTGGAACTGCATGCAGAACAGTGGGATAAAGCAGAAAGTGAGACCATTTCAGAGAGCAGACACCGCCACTGTGATGGCCTGAGGCCTGTGTGTGGGTAGCTGAGCAAACAGCACACAAACTGGACCGACTATGAGACCACAGGCAGAACCGCCCAGCACACAGGAAACCGAGCCTACAGACACAGTGCTGATTCAGGACCACACAGACCTCAGTGGCATCTGAAGCCAAGTGTTACCTGCAGATGTCCTGGTTGGATGGCGTGACAGAAGTGTGAGAGAAGGCAGACACCAGAGCCGATGATGATGGAGGACTCCCAGCCTGCAATGACATAGCCAGTGTTCAGGGAGGAGCAGGGAGGAAAACCCTCCTTCTGGGCAACAGTGGGCAGGGAGTTACTCAATACCCGCTATACCCTGCTCAGCTTGGAGGAGCTTCACAAGGGTCCTTGCGTCTTGGAGAACACAACCAGCCTTTGCGCCTTATCTGGTGACACCTGGAGCCACAGGCATCCCTCTAGACTCCTGCAGGGGTAGGGCAGGGCCATTTGTTTCCTAAGCACCTAAGGCTAATTAGTCCATATGAAGTCAGGACAGCAAGCACCCTCAGGGGCTCTGCCCACACCTGTCTGTGGGTTCTTCCTTCCCTGATCTGCATGTGTTCATCAATGCCTTATATAAATCCTCCCGTCACAGCTCTCTCCCTACATGATACCACCAGACCACAAGGCATGTAGCCAAATTCAACCCTGGCCCAGAAAGGCTCACCAAAGATGTTTCCAAGAGCTCCAACCTTCAGATCACAGTAAGAAAACAGATTTAGGACAACATGGAGAAAGAACCTGCAGGACAGAATGGGCCTCTGAGGGGTGGTGAACAGGCCAAAATTAGGAGATCTGAATGAAGAGGACAGACAGTGACAAGAGATACAACACAGGACAGGAGGGGTGCACAGGCCCAGCTGTGCAGTCCACCCAGGAGGCACCCGGGCTGGGGCGACAGAGCCTTTTTCTCTGGCTCCAGGACCTCACACCCTCTTAGGGTCACTCATCAAGTGTGCAGCTGTCCCTCTGCAAACACCACACACACCTTTGCACCACGCGGGACAGCACAGGCAGGTCATGTGATGCAAGGGACATGAGAAGCATAGAGCAGCAGCCCATGAGAACCAGCAGAGTCCTGCAGACATCTGAACATCAGCGAGCAGAAGCATCAATGAAATCATCACGCACAGTACAGTGCAGCAGTCTGCGCTGTGCTCCCATAGGTCCTGTAGGGAAAGGCTCACACCAGGCTTGCCACATGCGTGTGACGAGCTGCACAACAGCATGGGTGGCTGTGATGTCAGCAGGCAACAGCAGTTTCCCAGCTGCATCAGAATCTGATGGGGCTACTCCTATGCATGGGTCTGTAGTCAACTGATACATTGTCACCCACCCTCCCCCAGGACACTAAGCTCATGGGACTCACTTCCCCCAGCCCTGCTGCCTGGTGCAGGTGCCCCACCTGGCCCACAGTTGCCCACCTCTCAGTTGTGCACATTGGCTTTGGTCAGTCAGAATGGCACAGCCACCACCAAGAACCCCTTCTCTCATAGGGCCCTTGAATCTGCTTCCTACTGCTCATACCAAGTTAGACATTTAAACCATGAAGTGCCTGTTAACACGCTGATGTCACCTGACACTGTGTAAATAGAACATATCTGAGTCACTGAAGAATCTACCTGTATCTTCTAACTGCATGTGCGCATGGACATTGAGCATTTACAGTTAAGGGATTAGCGGTGGAAAGTTCTCAAGAATCTAACGTTATTCAGGGATATGAAAATGACATCCCTCAAATAACTGTCATCAGTACTTCTGAAACAGAGGAGAGGGGCCTGGGCCATGTGGCAGGGCACTGTGGCATCAGGTCCTGCAAGCCCAGCTATAGGCCATCTTTTCCCTGGGGCAGCCATTCCTGGCTTCACCCAGGTACCCAGAGCAAAACGAAAGACCTCCTGGTATGTGGCTTTCCTGGTGACCCTTGCAGGGGTGCAGATAGCAGGAGGCACCCCAAAGACCAGCCTCTCCACCCCAACACTTCTTGATTCTAAAAGCCTTCAACAGCTTCCTGCTCCCTCCTTCATGTCCAACAGTGACCAGCTCTGCTTGGCACTCTCAGAATGCACAGCCCAGAGGCGAAGGTCGCCATGGCCTCTCCACAGGTAGGCTGTGAGGAAGGTGTGTCCTGCCTTGCTTGCCCTTGTTCACCTCCCCGAGTAGCAGTGACACTACTGACCTATCAACAAGACCCCAGAAACAGCCTGTCCCACAGGAAAAGGAAGCCCCCCGCTCAGCCTTGGAAGGCAGAAGCAGCACAGCCTGAAGTTTGTGCCACCTCGGCTGATCCTGAGAACCTGGTTCCCATGGGGTTAGATCTCACAGGACCTAATGTCCATGGGGAGAAGGCAAGGCTGTTCCTGACGGGAAAACCTGAGTGTGCCGAGAAAACTGAAGGCCTATTCCAGGAGCCTCCTGCTGGCTCCCAAATGAGACCTTCCAGCTATACGGAGTGTGTGTGTGTGGGGGAGGCTCATGGCCAAAAAATGTGTGAAAATCCCTTCTCCTTAAGATGTTGTACTGGATTCTGCCACAACAAGCTCCTGGGTGCTGTCCAAGCCCAGTTCCCTTCCTGGAGCTCTCAGGAATGGCATCACCAGACATCTGTGTGGCTGCACTAGACGCTCCCAGGCCTTTCTCACTGATTCACCATCCAACATGTGGGGAAGAGGTTTCCCACAGATACTTGAGGTCCTGTACCCCTCTCCTCCATCTGGAGTGGGAGGCTGCAGCTCTGGGAGTGGCCAAGGTGACACTCCTTAGGCAATGCCTTCCCTCAGTCATAGTCATCGGCCTCAGTGAAAGTTCCCAGTGGGTGGCAAGAAACTCCCTCCCTTCACAGCCTTCTCTTCCATCTCTGCAGACTCCATTCCCTGCACCAGCAGAGCTAGGTGTTAACAGCAGGCTCAGGGATGTGAAGAGCAGGCCAGCGGGCCCAGTGTTCAAGATGTCAAGCTGATGACCTAACTGAGGAAAAGGGAAGGTACCTTCCTAACATGAAGAGATGCTTACCTTCACCCACAGTGAGAAAAGCAAAATTAACCACAGTGAGATGCCATCACCAGCAAGAGAAAGTAAATAAGATAATACTGAAGCTGGCAGCAGTGTGGGCAAACAGGCAGGTTTATAACCTGTAAGACCTCCACAAGTCAAACCAGCAAGAGTCTCAGAATCAAAGGCATGTTCACTTTTCAGGAATTCTTGCTCAGCCAGCACAAAGGGGTCTGCGTAGCCCAGGTTGAGGCCACCCTGCAGCTGGTGAAGCAGCAGCTACATCTACTGGATGGAGGAACAGACTATCAACAGATAGAAGGGGCACCTGGCTGCACCCAGAAATGGGCAAAGGATGAACCAGCACATTCACACAAAATCAGGAGACCAGGAGCCTGCACGAGTGAGCTGACTCTCTATGTATGTGCTCTGCCACTGCTTGAGCTGAGCAGTATTTCCTACACAGAAGTTTACTTACAGGACAACAGATAACTGGTAGTTTAAAAAGTAAGGCATGGTTCATGCCTGTAATCCTAGCACTCTAGCAGGCTAAGGCAGGAGGATCATAAATTTGAACTCAGCTTGGGCAACTTAGCAAGACCATGTCTCAAAAGTAAAAAAAAATTTAACTGGGCTGAGGATGTAGCTCAGTGTGAAGGCCCTGGGTTCATTCTCCAGTACTAGGAAAGAAAGATTCTAGAAGAACTATAACTGCAACAACTTCCCTGCTCTGGGATAGCAGGTCAGGAAACTGGTCACATGTGTTATGTCTTACATTTTGAAAAAGGGAACAGAAATTAGTAAAACAGAGGTGGGTAGAGTGTGTGTGAGGTAAGGATAAAGTCTTCAGAGGGAGTCAGGTCTTTCACCTATGAGTAAGCAAGCTAGGTTTCAATGAAAACTGTCTTACCATGGATCATGGTCATTGCAAGCCCAAGTCACTGCTGAATAATTCTCCAAAGGAAACAAGGCATCGTAGGAGCAGCAGCAGAAGGTGGTGTCCACATGGAGCTCCAAGACAAGGAGGTTCCCCTCTATGTGAGGAGCATCTGTATCCTACCTGGGATTGCTGTGGCTGTGTCACAATTCACACAAACTTAGTGGCTTAAAACTACATATATCCACCATGGCACAGAATCCAGGGGCCAGGAGTCAAACACAGTGTGCCAGCTTCTCTGCTCAGGGTCTCCCTCTCCTGGGGTGCTGGGCACAGTTCACTGCCATACTCAGGACGTTGGTAGAGCACAGTCCCTGCAGTTTCAGCATAGAGGCCCGGTCCACCTATTAGCTCTGAGTTTGTCCCATCACAGGAGCTTCCCCACCTCTGGCTGCTTGGACTAGAATCCTCTCCCTTTTCCTCTGCCACCAGTCAGAAAAGGCTCTCTAGGTGTTCATGGGATTCCAGATGAGCTCCCTATTCCAAAGTCCACCACACTGGACACACAGCACATCCTCGGAGTGACGCCAGGTTCCAGCTCACAGGACAGGACATCTTGGCAGCCCACATCAGCAACCTGCTCACCAGACCGCCTTTTACTTGTGCTTCCTGCTCAGAAGGTTGCTACTGGTCACTGTCCCCAAGCCAGGATGGATCAGAGACCTGTGCCTCCCAAGCACCAGCAGCAAACGAACTCGCCTGGTGTCTGGCACAGGGGTACACATCTGCAGTGACGTCTCAGCACACTCTCTGCTCAAACAGAAGTCACTCTGTCCAAACCAAGGCTCTATTATGAGAGCCTTTCTATAAACACCCAATTGTACTCAACTTCAAAACTGAGAGACACTGAAAGGAGAGGCCATTCTGGGGCTGTGCTGATAAATACATGTTGACTCTTGTTGCAGGGCTGTGCCAAGAACGGGTGCCCACAAAGGCAATTAATTAAGCTGACCATTAAATACCCAAACAGGCAAAATACAGGATTCATGGAGGAGAATGCAAAATACCCACCGCTAAGGCCCAAAGGATTGCCATTTTAAATGAGCTCATTAGCATTTTAGCAAGTGGAACTAATGCTCAATTCTTTTCTTTTGCGGCATTTTAGAGGTAGGTGGAATTACACAAATAGCAATATATATCCCCAGCACAATGAGGGGCGCACGTCACAGCATGCCAGATTGGGGTGGCAGCTGAAAGGACTTTCTCAGGGCTTGTTTTTCTAAGCAGGGCTCCATGCTACAGCTGAAATCTTGAAAATTTGTGCTTTCAATAAATTACACAGAAGGCAACAATTTCTGAGCAAAGATGGTGTCACTTCGTAGTACCAGAAAAAAATGAAGGTAAACAAGGGAAAGTCCCAGACCACCAGCAATCACAGCATGTCAGGGATTGTTTAGTACTATAATCTCCTTTCAATATTTAACTTTTCAAATGCAACCAAAACATATCTTCATTGCCAAGAATGGTCCTTTGAGAAACTTCTGGGGTGCAGGCAAAGCACTGGCTTTTGACCCTAACGTCCTCACTGTGGTCTGGGACCACGCCACCAATCATGCCACCGAGCAGAGTTTAATCATTTAAAATCTGGGTCACAGATCCACAGGCCTGCTGCACAGACCAAATAAAATCAGAGGAGGTGGGAATACAAGCCAGGCCTCCTGGGCCAAGACACAGAAGGAATAGGCTGTCCCCAACTGAGGCTATCACACCTCCAACTCACTCCCCTCACCTCTGTGGCATAAAAATGAGTCTCTCATCTTTGGGATTTTGTTTTCAGTATGAATGAAGGAACACTCACCCTGCCTTACATGTGAGCCACATATCCACCAGGATTCAGAAGCAGAGTGCAAATTTAGCCTTGACCCCATGCAGGTCCGAGGGCCCTAGGCAGGTTCAACCATGACTCATTCATGCCTCAAGGAAGTAAGAACTTTAAACTATTCAAGGCCCTGAGGCAATTTGTATCTGCCTGTCAGGCAGAAGAGCAGAAGTGAAGTTCTGAGCTCCTTGAGCATGGTCAATCTGGCTATACCTGGAGCAACTCACCGACCTAGGCGCACAGATTTAAAGATGCTGGCTCTGACATCACCATGGAAGCACACCCCACCCCTACCCCCATAGCTGCTGCCAAGCTATGGAACTCCTCACCCTGCCTTTTACAGGGCAGGTGCGGCCCACTGCCCAGGCTCCAGGTCCTGTGCTGCTGGACCAGGTCCACTTCCAGGGCTGGAGGAGCAGGGTCCCTGGAGTGTCATCCACTGGGTACCACAGGCCTCCCTGAGCAGTTCACAAGGCAGCAGAGAGCCAGCCCTCAATCAGTTGCTTGCCACCAACAGGGCCCAACGTAGTCCCATCAGGCGGATGTGTTCAGTGTCCTTGGGGAATTGAAAGGTCCCCAAAGGATGTCAGACCAAGAGCTCACAGACTGCGGTAGCCAACAGATCTCAGTCTCAGGTATCACAGTGGTGACTATGACAGCCTGAAGCTTTTACTGGCCCTTAGGGCACTGAGTTCTCCAGGAGGTAACACCCGCAGTGGAGATCAGGACAGCCGCCAGCCCTTACTGTGACCACCATTTCCCTACTGTCATCTCATCCCACCACCTCCAGCAGCCCGCCCTTCTACCCTACATAGGTCCACCTGCCCCCCGACATCCCATCTCTTCTCTGTTCAGTTTGAAGTACCATGTCCAGCACAATTGAGAGCTGGACAAAACCTGCACTCATGTGACCCTCATAAGGCCACGAGAACCACCCTTTCTCCATGCCACAGTGAGGGCACATCCTGCTGGGCAGGAGGCCAGGCCAGGGGCATAGCACTCTGGGCACATAGCCACTTCACCCATGCCCAAGCTCACTATCCTACTGCACCCCTGCCACCCAAACTATGATATAGGAAGTGAACTGCCAGGCCCCAGCTCTCCAAGTTCCCTTCACCCCCAGAGCTCTGGGTCATGGGGTGGCATTGGGACATGGGTGAGCTTAAGTGATTACCAGAAGAATGACTTTGTAAAAATTGTGTCTTAATTTGGAGATAGAATCTGTGGAGATGGGAAGGCGACTGAGGGGAGGTGGGGACAGGATAGAGGGGAAGTGGAAAGGGAGAAGAACCCAGAGAAAAATATTCACTAGTTATTGCAAACCTACACTCATAAAAATTTATACAAAGACAACTAACCAAATATGTCCTTCCACATACAATGACACAAAATTCTAAGTTCTTCCAACTGGGGAGCAGCACAGGAAGCATGGGTGAGGATGGGTAAAGGTGGGGTGGAGCCATGTTCCATGCCCAGCCTTCCACAGGCACATCCCTAGGCATGTGTCTGAGCATATCCCCAGGGTCACTCCAGCTCAGGCAGCTTCTCCTGGCACTCAGGAGGACATATATTTTCCCCGGGGACAAGTGTGCACCTTCCTTGAAACACTTTTGATTCTTATTTTTTTTTTGGTACCAGGGATTGAACTCAGGACCTTATACTTGCGAGGCAGGTGCAGTGCCACTAAGCTAAATCCCTGGTCCCACTTTTGATTTTTCTACACAGGCCTCAGTATAATTACAAACTGTGTAAGCGCTATAAAAGGAAAGAAGATAATACCCTTAGATTATGGGGAGACCTGAGGGAGAAACAGGAAGTAGCCACTTCCTGTTTGGGGGTGTGCTAGGGAAGGCCTCCTGCAGAGGGAAGGGCATAAGTGGCTTACAGGCAGGTGAGGAGGAAGGTGGTCTGGCCTGGGTCCTCTAGATCAGGGAGGGCAAGGGGACTATGCTAGATGAGAACCCAAGGGTTAGGGACTGCGGCTGAAGCAAGAATTCAGAAGGCTACCAGTGCAGGAGCACTGAGGATGCGCAGGAAAAACATCGGGTTCCACTGCTGGCTGTGGGTGGAGGGCACTTCCTATATGTGGTCAACTTCCTAGTAATCTGATCCGTGAACAGAGGCCTGGCCTGGCAGGGTGGGGGCAGCACAAGGGATGTGGGGCTAGTGTACAGCCCTACACCCCACAAGCCCTCACAGCACATACAAGGGCTGCTGATCCCCAGCTCTGAGGCTCAGGGGAATGAGACCTGGCTCTGTGTCTATGGAGTTTACACATGGGGCAAAGCCACCCGTTGAAAACCTAGGTGGCAGTGGGTACTGTGCTGAAAATATATATGTAATAATGACTGGAGACCACTCGGGGTTAGGATGAACCATTAGGCAGAGGTGATAAATTCAGTGATTCTGGCCCATACACAGAGGCTCATCAACACCTAGTAACATCATTACTAGTAACAATCAGCAGTGGGCACTACAGCAGAGCAGTTTAAACATCTCATGTGTTTCCCTCTATAGCGCTCTAAAGGGATTGACTGCAGCAGTCAGTTCAAAGACAGACCGGAGAGCCCCACAACCCTGCAGCCCCAATATCCACCATCCAGCCTGCTGCCACCTTTTCTGAGAGCCACCTGGATCTCAAGGACAACAGGGGCTTCCCTCTGCACACACAGGACACTGGGGGCACATGGAGGGCTCACAGCCACCTCTTCTCACCTGTGACCTCAGGCCAGCAACACACGGCCGGCAGAAGCCCTGGGAGCTGAGCCCAGCTGGAGGAGCCTCCCAACGGAGACCAATAGGATGGATGGATGTGGGGTGCACTGCTCCGTTCTCTTTCCATGACCTTTGCACTTGAGGTTGTGGAGCATCTGCTGCAATGTCAGGACAGTAGGTGCATGTGACAAATGCTCAAGCAAGAACCGCTTCTCAGGGAAGTCATCCTGCACAGGGCCTTGCCCTCCCCCAGGCCACCACACCTGCTGGGCAGCTTCACACAGTATACCACCCTCAGTGACATAGGCACACGGTGAAACAAAACAGCACAGTGAGGCTCCTGGGGAGTTCCCCAGGCATACGCCATTCCTCAGCAGGCACAGAAGTGTCCAGGCACAGAAAGCATGAGGGAGACATGGGAAAAGAAAAGGCTACTGCTTCTGCACTCCATCAGCAGTTACTAACAATGCTCCACTGAAGATGATAAGGCCAAAGCACCAAAGGTCACTAGGACTTGACAGAGTTTGAGGGTCAGGTTTGGTGGCTGCTACAGAGAAGGAGTTGCCCATGATTCTGGGCAAACATTATCTCCAAGACTCATACCGCAATGAAGGTTGTGTTACTTCCCCCTAACTTATCTATCTCACCAGGAAATGACCTGACATTTTAAGCCAGTGGTTTACCAATGATTTTTAATGTACAAGGAACTTTCCTTTCACACCTCTTCTTTTGGGGGGGGGTACTGGGGATGGAACTCTGGATCTTGTGCTTGAGAGGAAGGCAGCAGTACCACTGAGCTAAATCCCCAGCCCTTTTCATATTTCTTTCAATGCTTTGAATGCAGGCACTGTTTGAGGCCCAGAATAGTGCCTTCCTTCAGAAATGCCTCAGTCTCCAGAACAAGGCAGGGCCCTACTACTGTGTGCACCCAGCACCCCATGGGCCACCTTCAGTGGCCACCTTCAGTGGCTCCAGTGGTGGCCAGCTCCTCTGAAAAGTTCAGGGAGAAACAACACTATCCAGAGAGCAGTGGCCTCCATGGGGTGTTCCGGAGTGCTTCATTCCTACAAGGAGACTGTTCTGGAAAGGGCAGACATGGACAGATGGGAACACTGACACACATATACACACACATACCCATGGAGCCCAGAGTTTGAGGGAGTTGTCTGGGAGATGATGGTAGAGCCAGGAGCACAGGACCATGCTCTAAATGACCTCCAATGTCATGCACTACAAATTTGTCTTACATATATGCTTAAGAACAGAACAGTAATGTCTTTTGGAATTTGCTAGATTCTTTTACTTTAAAAAATTAAGGTGCTCTTAGTGCAACATCTGTTTAGTTAGTAAATTTAAATAGTATGTACAGCAGCTGTTTATCTCAGGACATCGAAGAGAACTGAGACAGCAGACAGGTTTTTCAAGACTTCCTGTCAGGATGTGTCCTGTGTAGGGCTGTGTGACAGAGACATGGGAGGAAAGGGAGGTCCACACCTGTGAGGAGCCTACAGGGCTGAGGGTGGGCTGCAGGAGGAGATGCCCAGGAGGTTGGCAGTGCCATCCCTGTGCCCTGCTGTGAGAGGTCAGCTGTGTCTCTCTCAGCCAACAGACCCCTTGGTCCTCCTCATATTCCTGCTAAGGCCTCAGTCTAGGTGTCTGGAGGCCCTGCTCTCACCTGAGACCTGCAGCAAGCAGAAGGGCAGCAACATCCTAAGGAAGATGGCACAGGAAGAAGAGCCTGGCGCCGGGCAACATCTGAGAGAACACAGCACAGGACCACTGGCCTCCAGACACTGTATAACCACACAGATTATATCTGTCACCACACCTGGCTCTGTTCAAACACATTCCTAACTGTGGTGACAGACTCCCTGGTGACAAGAGATTTTTTTCCTGCCACAAAGTACGTGACTTGTTAGAAGTAAAGGAGTTTTCCCTACAAGTCACTTCCCTGATTCACTAGAAAAATATAATTGCCCCCTACCTCAGATAGCCCCAGGTCAGACTACAGACCTGACAGAGAACCTTTCATCTTTAGAAGACATAAATGGAAATCCATCCATGCCATAAGGCAAGAAAGGCCCCAACACTACATGACACTCATCTGGGAACCCTACCTTAGAAATGTTGCTCGAATGACTCATGGAATGTCCCAAAGTCTTCTCATTCTGCAAGAAAGCCCCCTCGCAAAAAAAAAGTGTTAAGTATGGAACTTTGACTAAAATGTGCAATGAGCAAGTACCTGACCACAAAGATCCTACAGACTGATCATCCTGTAACTAGAGTGTGCCTGGAACAAACCACCCTGCTGACACTGGAAAACCAGCAACAAAGAATGGCACAACAGCCATTCCCTAAAGGAATCAATAGGAAGAGAACACGAGTTTGGAGCTAGCTGCAAAGCAAGGCAGTGGCAGCTGTTCTGATGCCAAGTTGCCTCAGGTAACAATCACTGACAGTCAGGGAACAGTGTGGGACCAGTAGGGCCAGTGCTGAATGCTCAGCGAGACATCGCACTGATCTCTGCCCTCAAGTCTTTCCCTCCTCCTGAGCCCAGGAATCTGGGAGTCACTGTCTCCTCTCACACTCTCCAGTCCATCACAGATCCTATCCTACCGCCCCCACTAGTTTTTATCATCAATGTTCTAGTTCAAGTTCTCGTTTCTCACTTAAGAGTTCTTAAATAACTTTTGTCCTGCTCTTTCTGCTTTTAAAGGACCTCCCGTTGTCTGCTAACCCACACCCCCTCTTCACATACTGAAGCCCTGTGCCAGATGTCTCAGAATGTTACTGTGACAGTAACATGGCAATAGGCTCCTTGGAGAGGTGATCACTGGGGGCCTCAATGCAGTACAGCTGGTATTCTTGCAGGATGCAGACACACACAGAGGAAAGACCATATGAAGATACATGTAGAAAACAGCTTCAGAGAGATGGAATTTTCCCTTTCTAAATCACCAAATTACAGACTACCTTCACTGTGAGACTCCTGGCTTGAATGATCAATATTCCTAAAATTCTATGGAGAAACCAGCTCTCAAGTAGCCTAGTGCTGGCACTACTATTGTAGTATCTTCTTTGCCTTTACAAAAATGTGTTAGTTCACCTAGGAATATTTTATTATTTCTTTCCTTATTTTATAAATATCAATGGGAAGAGAGGTGTAGGTCTCTGGAAGTGTTTAACAGACCTCCTGTTAAGTGTTCAGCCCCAAAGTCAGGTCTCTTGGTCTCAAATCAATCAAACAGGTGCAGAGGAAAAATATACAACTCTAAAGTGCCTCAGAGTGTCAAGAAGGTGTCACCAAAGACCACAGACCACTCACCCTGCCACCCATACCCCCACCCCAGGGTGGAGAGGCTCTGTCCTCAGCATAGGTAAATCGGGTGCCACTCAAGGCTCACTCACAAATTGAGAATGTGTTATAGATGAACAAAGGCACTGGCCAGATTATAACTGCACATACTGAACTAAAGCAAAGACGCCAGGAACCTCAGGTTATCGGTGCAGAAAATGAATTTCTATGCCTCATCTAACACTCTCCTGACAACCATCAGCCTACTGGGAGCAGGGACAGATGTTGGTAGGGACAGGCCACATTGTCGAGCTATGTAACATTACAAATCCAGACTGAGAGCAGAAGATGCTCTTTACCCACATGAACTTAAGAAATAAATGTGAGGACTCAAATTTTTATTCTGCTTTCCTCATTAAGAGTAATATTTTCTGTTGGTAACATTAGAAGAAATACCCAGCCCCAGAAGACACAAGTGTTCTACAGCTGGAACCCTGCCCACATTTAGGGCTACTTCTCTGCTTTCAGGTGCACCCAATGCACAATCTTCCTACCACAGCATCAATACTGCTCTTGAATGTTCCTTTTTTAGGAATTAACTAAAGAATCTCAGAAGTTCAGGGCCATAACAAAGCTGTTCTCCAGAAAGCAAATGTCAG